CCTCTAGATCCACAGCAGCTCCGCCGATGGATAGACAGGCAGACCAAGGGGACACCTTGGCCATGGGACGGTGGCATCTGGACCCTGCCTCCCTGGGGGTCTTTGGCCTGACCGAAGTCCCAGGGGTGGGGGGATGACAGTACCGCCTCAGTATGATCTTATTTCAGCTCATTTACATAAGTTTTTTCTTTTTTTTTTTTTTTTTTAATTTTGAAATTTTTTAAGCTGATGTACAGGACATGGTTTTCTAGTTCACTCAACACTACTTGAATCTTTATATGATCAAAAAAGTCTTCCTAAAATAGATTTTTTTCTTTTTTTTTACTGTTTCTTTATGGGGGAAACTAGTTCCCTTGGAGGCAGCAAAGGTAGAGAGGGGATGGTGATGTGGGGAGGGTGCCGTACCCCTTCCCGGTACAGGGGCAGCTGTCGGAGGATTTCCCCCACAGCTGCCCAGTGCTGCTCCTCATCCCAGGCAGGGCTGGAAAACAGCCCCTGCTCCCCCCTGTGGGGCTGTGGAAGGAGTTGTCCCCAGCACTAATGACCCGAGTACCTCCAGGGGTGTCCCCCCCAGCTGCTCTGATAGCTGCCTGGAGCTGGTTTGCAGATGTTCGCAGCAGCAGAGGGTGGGGCTAGGACTGTTCCAAAGAACTTGCTGCCAACCTGCTTCTCCTAGGGATGCTCTGGGAAAGCCACCAAAATGCAGCAGGGGTGATGGTGGCAGTGCTGCTCATCAGTCACACCCCAGGGGACATCTGCCCTCAGCCACAGGCCTGCTGAGAGCCCCCTCCCCAGCTCTCCTGGGTCACACAGACAGAGGTTTTTGGATGGCATGGAGGTTTTGAAAGGCTTGCTGCCTGCTGGGAAGGGAACAAGCTCCAGGAGCCCCTTGGGCAGCAGCCGTGCCCTCACCTCTGCTGGAAGAGCTCCTGTGCACTGAACCCTGAGTAAGGGTCTTGCAGAGCTTAACCCTGAGCAAGCAACAGTGATGCTGTGCTTGAGGTAAGATGAGGCTGAAATCACAGAGTCACAGAATGGTTTGGGTTGGAAGGGACCTTAGAGATCATCCAGTTCCTCCCCCCTGCCATGGGCACACCCCCCTGCCATGGGCAGGGACACCTCCCACTAGGCCAGGTTGCTCAAAGCCTCATCCAGCCTGGCCTTGAACCCCTCCAGGGACGGGGCATCCACAGCTTCTCTGGGCAACCTGGGCCACTGCCTCTTCACCCACACAGGAAAACATTTCTTCCTAATATTCAATCTAAATCTCCCCTCTTTCAGCTTAAAGCCATTAGCCCTCGTCCTGTCACTACACCCCCTGATCAGGAGTCCCTCCCCAACTCTCCTGTAGCCCCCTTTCAGCACTGGAAGCTGCTCTGAGGTCTCCTCGGAGCCTTCTCTTCTCCAGGCTGAACAATCCCAACTCTCTCAGCCTGTCCTCATACAGGAGGCGCTCCAGCCCTCTGACCATCTCCGTGGCCTCCTCTGGACTCACTCCAATAGGTCCACGTCCTTCTTATGTTGGGGTTCCCAGAGCACAGGGTCTTTCCCAGACACCCCAGAGTGTTTTTTCCCCTTTGCACCACCCAGTCCCTAGAAAGGCGCTTTCCCACCCAAACTCCCCACCTGGTTTATAAGAGGAGCTGCCTGCCCCTCTCCCACGGGCACCGGCCAGCGGCTCCCAGCCCCGAGTCGGCTGCGGCCATGAGCTCCTAATCTCTGCCCTATCTCAGATCACAAACATCTCTGTGCAAGGCCTGGCACGGCGCTGCCCGACCTCCCCCTGCTGTGCTATCACCACAAGATAAAGTTGTCTCAAGCTGAACATGGTACAAACCATTCAATTTTTATAGAGCCCTCTTATCTCCTGAAACTCGGAGCGATCCTCCCTTTTTATCACCGGGATGTGAGCCATCCTTTCTACTTATCGTTAGAAATTGCTGCTGCTTGATGAAGTGCAGGGAATGATGTATTCTCCCAAACATTAAACTTTAACTGACCTTTCCCTCTCCTTAAGTGTTGTGCTTTTTCCTGCCGTGAGGCCAGTGTCAGCCCTTGCCCCTGGCTGGGTCTCTGGGGGATGGAACAGGAGGGACTTGGGGAACTGGACAGGAGCACAACAGAGAGCTGTGAAGCATCTTGTGGTTTATGTGCAGGTGGGGAAAAAAATCGCAGTCCCACAGCATCTGCTGCTGAAGGGGATGATGGGGGAGCAGTGGACAGCAGGACCGGGTGGCTTGAAGCATCCTTGGAGCACCCATCTCCAGCTGCCTCATCCCACAGCCGGCTCCCAGGGGAGGAGGGACCCACAGGTGGGGGCACTGGAGCCGGCTGGGAGCAGCCTGCCCTTACCAGCCTTCCCCAGAGCCCCCGTTTTCCTCCCCACTAAATGCACTGCCCTGGGGGCAATTTCACAATCAATCACTGTTTTTCCCTTAAAAAAAAAAAAAAGAAATCCTGGCAGGGTGTTACACTCTGCTCTGAACAATCCTCCCCACTGCAGCTTCTTTGCATGGAAGCCCCCAGCTGCCCTGCTGCTCTCGGCTACTAATTCCTGCATGGAGGCTAGTAGTTTGGAAGGGCAGATCTGGGACTCAGGAGCAGGAGCACTCTATGCCTGCAGGACCCATCGCTGCCTTCCTGCAGGGAACAAAGCCCCACAAAAGGAGCAGGGCTGCCTTCCCTGAGCCCCTGCCTTCGTGCAGTGGACTCGGCTGCCAGAGGATGGAGCGGGGAAGCATCCCAGAAATGCCAAGAAGCTTAAAGGTGGTGAATACAGCTGGGGATTTACAGGCCAGCACTCCAGGTGGGATCTGAGCGCCTTCTCCAGTACATGATGAGAAGGTTTCAAGGACCTGATTTCACAGATGCCTAAATAAATACATTGGAATTGATATACAAAAACACAGCGCGTATTTATCTACTTTGCAGGGGGAGTGGGATGTAATTAGATGGCAGTGTCTCTCTCAAGGCTATCTCTGCTGTAACTCATGCCCCGAGGGGAGGGGGAGGAATATGCAGGCAGCAAAATTGATGGGCTGCTCCCAGAGCTTGGTGTTAATTAATTTCCAAAGCGCTCCATGTAGCAGAGCAAGCAGCTCCTTCGAAGCCTCCTTTTCCCCACCGCTGCGGGTGCTCTCATGCCTGTGCCAGCGTGGGGTGCAGGGCAGTGGGGTAAGCCTGGGGGTCAGCACTGGTTCTTCGAGCCCCCAGGCTCTTTGGTTAAAGTGTGCAGAAGCTGTTGCTGTTTTTAAACAGGGGGATTTCTCCTTGGCCAAGAGCCCTCTTTGCTGGCCACAGCGTGGGCAGATGTATTTTTCAGGGCTTTTCCTTTTCCCCTTTTTATTGACATTCTGCTTGTTCCTGCTGCCAGCAGTCAGCCCAGACTGGACTTTGCTGAAAGCCCACCCAAAACGGCCAGTTCCCAGGTGCTGACGCAGTGCCCTGCCCCTGAGATAGAAGAGGTTTGAGAACTGGGTTTGCAGCCTGGTCAAGTGGGTGGTGGTGGGGCTGGGAAGGGGCTGCGCCAGCTCCAGAGCTCTTCCCCTACTACCTGCACACTGGCTCTGCTTGTGCCTTCCTCAGCCTGACTCTATTCACCATGTACCACCCCAGCGAGCTGCTGTGATGAACAAACGACCCAGGTAGCCTCCTGCTTTAAAACGTGAGCTGGCTGTAGCCCAAATTCCTTCTTCTGCAGGGTCCTGCTCTGCTCTGCTCCACTGAGGTTGGTTTGCAAACGATGATGAGGTCCACACGTGGCTCTGGTTAAACTAGTTAGCATCCGGACTGCAGCGAGCCTTGTGTAAGAGGGGCTGGGGGAGGGATCTAATCCAGCACGTGTGAGAGATGTTCATGGCTGTAAAGTAACCCTGAGCTCTGGAGACTAAATTTCAGCATCCTCAGATGGAGATAGTTTTACTGTATTTGTGCATGGTACAGAAATTTAGGAACAGCGAACCAAATGCTTTCTTCGGAGCTGTCTGAAGCCAGCCTCCATGATCGATGCTGGAGTGTTTACGGCTGAGCAGCTTTTTAAGGCCCCGTGCACCAGCTGTATCTAAAACTGCGGTGTATTTCTGCAATCACACAGAGAGATTGCAGAAGAGAGAGAAAGGAGAGATTTAGAATCACGTTTAGTTAAATGCTGAAAACTAATAGAGAAGCGCAGAAGACCCTGCATGCTGGCTGCACCAGTTACTGGAATGGATAAGGCTGTTACATTTGGGTTTAGAATTAGTTTGTCATTCTCTCATGAGGTGAGAAAAATTATTGGCTCATTTATTAGGCAGAAGTCAGCCTACTTAAAATAGACATTTTTATTTCTAGGTTCTATAGGACAATCAGTAACGTAGCAAAAGGGTCAGTAAACCACACCGCTGCGAACAAAGAGCTCTGCCTTACCCTGGCCAGCAGCAGAGCCAAGTGGTGAAAAAACAGCATCTGCTCGATCCCAGGCAGCAATGTGACAGCATCCATCCTGCTGCAACGAGCAGGTATCTCCCCAGACCACTGCTGTTAAACCCCAGCAACTACAGCCCACCTCTAAGGAAACCAGTGATTTTTCACAGGTAAGGAAATACATTCCCAGCTGCTATTGCTTCACACTGCAGCCAGTGCTTGGCACTGCTTCAGGTTTGTTTCAAAACCACATGCAGCCTATCATAGAGGAGACCTTCTGCAAACCAGCTGGATTTCTTTTTAAACAAATAATCCCCTCTTGTAAGCCCTTTATTCCCCTGTGCTGCTTTCCTGGAAGTTTCCCTGTGTGCCAAGATTATTTCTCCCCTGAAGTGTCCAAGGTATTTGTGTTCAAGCAGAAGTTTGCAGTCTGTAGCCGGGATAACAAACTGCAGCCTCTTGCACGGGACTCCTCTTGTTTCATTCTTGCTCATCAGATTCGATGCACCTTCTTGCCAGAGAAGTACTTCTTAGAGAAAGGAGAACGCTTTACAAATACCAAAACTGTTGGAGTCCCAGCCTTTACAAAATACCTGCGAAGATTAAAAGGAGTCCTTTGTCTTCCTTGTCGCTGGCCAAGTGTCATGCAGAGCGACTTCCACTCAGCTCAATAAAAACCGACCTCCCAACGGCCGACGACAAGCTTTTTTGCTGATCAGCAGAGCCTCTCATAGCCAGGGCTGCACACAGCCGAGGAGGAGTGTTTTATGAATCAACTCTTCTCCCAACAGCTACTTCTAATTAAAACAGCTGTTAGTCTCCCTCTGGAAGGAGGCTTCTTTTGCAGCTGCCCTTACAGCCTGAAATCTGAGGGCGTATGCGTGCTGCTTTTTATGGAGTGACAGTTCAGACACAGCCCGCAGCAGCAGACCTAGAGCTCTGCTCCCGCTGTGACGGACCAAGCCGCTAGCACTGTGCAGCAGCCTCTCTCCAGCTAGCTACAAGATGGTGTAAGTTAATAGCACAGGCTTTACAATGATTTTTTGGCTTCACAAACAGCAAATTCTTCTCTCTAAATAACTGTGCAACACTTTAAAGTCAGTTTCAGAGCGAAGCTGTGCTGCATGCTGTGTTGGGGCTGGGGCTGCTCGCGCAGCGTTATTAACAGTGAGAGCATTGTTAACCTTCAACACGCCCTCTTTATATGCTGCTGCTTTTTTTAAAAGTAGTACTGTGTAGATGGAATCTGAAACAGCCCTTTTGTGCTGCTGCTTGTGTGCAGCCCAACTCCCTTTCCCAACTCCATCCAGTTCAGGAAAGAGTCGTTAAATATTTTTTTTCCCCCCCAAAAATGAAGTCACTAAAGCGAGGGACAAAATCCATGCAGTCCCACTGCTTTACACCTTCCCCACTTAGAAATGTCAAGAATTAGGATAATTAAATCAGAGAACAAACTGGACCAAAAAGCCCAAAACTCATACTTTTTGCCTTCATGCTCTCCCTGAACATGAACAAGTAGAGCCTCACCTTTCATGCTGCAGCACTTGTAGCAATGTGTGTTCTGGGTTCAGCTTGTACATTTCTGCTCTTTCTTCATCTTCAAAATAGAGCTGAAAAAAAAATTGAGAGGGTTATTAAATACTTAAGACACATGATACTTAAGATACTAAACCGATCAAAGTCCAGTACCAGCACACCATGTATTGACTAGAGGTTTATCAAATTCCTGCACCTTGAACTGACGGTGTTGGATGCTAACTTCAGCAACGTAGAAACTGTTTTGTGTAAATTCCAAGTCTTTCCTGTATAAACCAGGTTAGCTGGAAGAAAAACACGCTGCCTGCTCCTGTGCTTTACAGAGAAGCAATCCAAATCTACAGGCTGTTTTTCAACAGGTGAAATGCAGCAACGGTATGAGCTAAACTGGATAGGGTTAAAGATATTTGAACAAAACAGAGTAGATATTAAGATATTTGAATCCAGCAGCTGTGCCTGAGACTGTACATACACACAGAGCTGCAATCCCAGTTTTTAAACTGGTAAAGTACACAGGCACTGTCCTTTTGGTCCTGTTTGCTCACTGCACTGAGGGCTGCGCTGTTGCCTGGCACATGTGACACTGAATGAAAATAAAATGAAAAATGAACATCTGTGTGCTTCTCTATACAGCTTCTGAACAATTCTCCAAACCTGCCATAACCACAAACAACTCGCATCCCACATGTGCTGAAGTCTTAACAGACATATATTGTCTCGATGGGATTAGGTGTTTAAGTACCAGCAGTTAGATCTGAAAATAACCTTGGGGTTTTTTTTAATATTTTCTCATTTGTATTGAGCAACTTTACAACAATGCAGTTAAAAAACTGGCAGCTTACCAGCTTGATGGTCTAAATTATAATTATAAGATAGGAATCTAAGCAATATCTATAAATACCTTCTATCAAATACAATGTAAGTGGAAGACAAAAGAATTTTTGTTTTCATTAATGAATTCTGTGCCCATGTCAGCACACTTGGAAAAGGTTTGAATCAATAAACAAACATAGCTCTTCAAATCCTTATTTCACATCCATGTATGGTAGTCAGGTAACGATACCATTGCTTTCATACACTCAAAGCTGCTCAATCTCATTCCAGAAAAAACAAAACAAAACACAACAACTCTGAAATTGAAGGAAAGTCAAACTTCTCACCTCAAGATTGCTGGGAAGGTATTTTCTTTCTAAATCCCAAGGAGGTAACTCAGCAAACATCACCATCAAATGATCGATAAACCTAAAAGCCAAAATACACTTGGTTAGCCTAGATCAAATGTTCAGCTTCAATAATTTGTGCAGTTGCATTTGAATGATGGCACAAACACATTAGCAAATTAGACTGGAAAGTAAGTCTGGATCACTCATAGTTTCTTCCCTTCAAACTCATTGCTTTCCCAAAGAGCCCAAGGCCCTGGTGTAACTCATGGTATTGGTTTCAAACCAGAGCAGTGCAACAGCAAATTTTTTTAGCTTTAATTTTCACACTGAAAAAGATATTAAAATAAAAAACCTGCATTTTGTCTAAAATTGATTTTCCTTCTACATGGTCCCACCAGCATGACGCTTCATCAGACTGGAATGCTCAGAACACGCCTGTGTGTCAGAGGCTTGTTTATTTTGGCACTTCAGGAGTACTGGTGGCCAATTAGTTCTAAGAACCCATTTCACCTCCTTTGGTCATGAAAAGTTATAGTGAACGCTACAGTGTAAGAACCATGACTTCACTAATCTGCTTGCACTGTAATTTTAAGTCACAGAATCATAGAACGGTTTGGGTTGGAAGGGACCTTAAAGATCATCGAGTTCCACCCCCTGCCATGGGCAGGGACACCTCCCACTAGCCCAGGTTGCTCAAAGCCTCATCCAGCCTGGCCTTGAACCCCTCCAGGGATGGGGCATCCACAGCTTCTCTGGGCAACCCAGGCCACCGCCTCACCACTCTCACAGGAGAAAAATTCTTCCTAATATCTAATTTAAATCTCCCCTCTTTCAGCATAAAGCCATTACTCCTCATCCTATCCCTACACTCCCTGATCATCAGTCCCTCCCCATCTCTCCTGTAGCCCCCTTTCAGGTACTGGAAGCTGCTCTAAGGTCTCCCCAGAGCCTTCACTTCTCCAGGCTGAACAACCCCAACTCTCTCAGTTCTGTCCTCATATTATTAATAGATCTGAGGAACCTGTGTCTCCCCACAAAAAAAAAAAAAAAAAGTTACAAATTCCAAGTTTGTTTAATATTGCAAGGTCAGAAACTGAAGCTAACATCAAGAAAAGGGGAATTCCCACTTTGCCAGTCGCTTGCTTATAGCCTGAAAGATCTGCAGCACTTCAGTTGGGCTGGCTGTATGCCCTAAGGAAATCTATGGGGTCACTTGTGGTTACGAGAGGTCCCTTTCAGAAGCTTTTTATAATGCTTAAGTTTAATGCTCTTTCTGAGACCCCATATTTGGAGGGCTTCGAAACAGTAAATTAACAAAGCTCTAAAGCCCAGGCATGCGGATGGGTCACTGGTATTACCGGCCACCGGTATAAGCTTCCATTGCAAGCCCCTTTAATCACACTGGCTAAATATGACATGTTTCTCCGTGCTATAAATTTATGAAATGTTGAGATTTTTGCCCTCATATTTTAAAGCAGAAAACATAGAATAATTCAGGTTGGAAAGGACCTAAGGAAGTCACCTATTGCAATCTCCTGCTCAAGAGCAGGGTCAGCTATGAGATTAGAAATCTGGAACTACTTCATTAGCATGGCAGTGCTTCACTTGCTGTCTGTTCTCATGTACTCAAACATCTCCTTTATGCAAGAACGCTGCTGACAGTGCATTTACCTGGAGTTCTCATGAAAAGCTGCAATGAAGTCTGTTTGATCGTGCTCAGGGTACAGAAAGAGGACAGGCCAGTTCAGGTTGCCATCAGCATCTAAGTGCACCTTTGCCCCGGTGGCATTGTCAGAGTGGAACCCATCTAAGGATACCTCAGCCAGACCATCTGATATTTCCTCTTCTTCATTTGAAGGCTCAAGAACCAGCTTGATATTTCTTTCCTGGAGGGGAGGAAGGAAAAACAAAACCCAACCAAAAACCACACAGGTATGGTGAGGAGAATAAGAGCAAAAAAATTAGCAGTCAGTAAAAGGAAAAATCGTGTCATTCTTAGTAACGTGTCAGCTCTTAAACATGCCATCAAAAGCCCTCCTACAGTATCAGGCTCAGGTGAGTGGTCTTCCCAGTAGAATCCAGAACCTCAGCCTCAAAGCCCTCATAAAACGGATGAGGAGAGGTGAGAATCCAGAGGACCCTGCACGCTGAGAGAAGCGCCTGAGAAAACATGGGGAAAGGGATGCATCTGAAATCTTGTGCTCTGGGACCTAGCAGGCATAACTTCAGGGCACAACTACATGTACGAGCTCCCAGGAACACCCACTCTTTCAGAAAACTGAAGAAAGCTCTCTCTTTTCTTTGGAAAGACAACTGCAGAAGAGGAGATTGGATTTACATAACATCCCAAAATGTTTTAACATAGCCCAAACATTTGGTGAGGAAGAAGTGGATCCAGCACTGATTCTCTCCTCCACCATACTGGATGGTTGTCTTGTGTCCTTCCACTGAAGCAATGCCCACTGGCAGCAAAGAGAGCGAGGTTCGTAGGGCCAGTGTGATGGTACAGCCCAGCAGCCAGAGCACTCTTTCGGATGCTCAGACCATCTCCTAACACTGGGTTTGTATTTTGTGTTAGTTGTTACCTGAAATACGGAAACCTGGGAGCTGGGGCTGGAGCCACACAGATAAGGAGAACCATAGGTTTAACTCAATTTTTTGGCTCTAGCCCTCAAAAGCTTGTGTACCTCTTCGAGACAATTGAAGAGAACTACTAAAACAAACAAACAACAAATCACCAACCCACCTTTATTGCTGCAAGCAAAATTTCCTTTTGACACTGCTCCTTCTTCTCCATCACCTTTGCTTTCCTTGCATCCCGCTCCTCAGCTCGCTACATGTAAGAAAAGGTTGCAGCATGGTCACACACAGCCAGTCAATGCCCATCACTGCTCTACCCTGCCAACAAGTGCAGAAATCAGTTCAGAACTCCAGAAGGGTCCCCTCCAGCTCCTTCCCCCTACACATCTCAACAACACACACTGTGGAAGCACCACTCAGTTCTGCTTGGGGATATTATACTACACAGAAACATGTAGGGAGCACTCTTCAACCAAGGATCCCAAAGTGCTTCTCGACACAAAGTAGGTATCAAGCATTGTAGACACCAGTTTGCCTTAATACTTACCTTTAATTTGTCAGCTTTAGCTCTCATTTCCACAAGCTTTTTCTCTTTTGAATCTATTCGCAGGCCCTCCTCACACCATGCTATTGCTTCAGAGAAATTCTTTAGCTCCATGTGACAGAGAGCTCCTGAAAGGATTAAGATTTTAAGTTTTTAGTATTGGAGTCAGTATTGGTGGTTATAAAGACGGCATTGGCCCTAGCGCTTTCACAAGGCACACAGAGCAGCACACGCTATTGTCTTGTGGGGTCACGTTCACTTGTAGATTTCCAGTAGGTCAGCTGAGAAGAAAATCTAAAATATTTCAGCGGTTCTTGTATCATCTGCTCATCTAGTCACAGAAATCAGCAGAATGATACTAAAAGTGTCACAGGTAAAATTTTATCATTAGAATTAACATGTCAGTCTCATAAGGTCACAATAAAGTGGTGTTTTCCATGGAGTGAGAAATGCTGAAAAAAACCACCCCAAAAAACAGGTATTCTGGAAAGCAGCAAAAGTTATGCTGCGTTCTGTAGAAACAGGTCCCATGCCTCTGACGGACATGGAAGCTGAAGAGCAAAAACACAGTGTTTTGATTGCAAATCCAAAGCAAAACATAAAGCTCTGTTTTGGGGAGAAAGAGCAAAACAAGAGAAGAGACCTGGTACAGTAACTTTTCTGAAATGAATGCTGTCTAGAAACAAAGTATGATGCACATTCACAGTAATTTAAGGTTTATGAACAGTTGTTTAACACACAGAAACACCTGGTGAAACAAAGTGACATCTAACAACAGTCCACTCCAGGCCTGGTAACAATAACAGTGTAACAAGTAAAGCTAACATCCTCAAAGCTGTTTTGAAAGGATGTTCCGCTCCATGCAGTAATATGTGCTATAACTCTTACCTCTTATGATTGCTTTGAGATGGGTGGGCTTCAGCTTTTTTGCTTGGATGGCATCGTTGAGAGCAGAACGGTAGTTACCTATAAAGCAAGCAACACTGCTCAGAACTTTTCATTTATATTTAAAATCCAGATCCCAAGGTGACAAAATAGCTTATGCAGAGACGCTGTAATTGACCGTTCCTAAAATCACCATGAGGCAAGCAGAGAAAGAAAGAGCAAACTAAGAGCAAGAAGTGAAAGGACAGGAATCCATCAGACAGATGAGAGGTAAGTAACACGACTGTGAGCAAACCATCCCCCAGCTGCAACTCGCAACAGCATTAAAAGGCCAAGAACACCTTCCCTCCTGTGCAGATGCCATTGGTAGGACAGGCGGTAGCTTGAGGAGGACACTGCCAGGAAGGACTGACAGGATGTGTTGATTTTTGAGGCCAGGGCATTTCCCTGTAGTTCCAATCACCCTGTGAATCTGTTCAGCATCAAAACCCACTGGCTTTACCCCCTCCTGGAGCCAAGGCTTGAGCAGCACTTGCAACGAACAAAGCACAAACCCTGCACACAGCCATGCTCCGAAGTGAGAGAGGTTTTTGGGGTTCAAAGGAACTTTTTCTTACAAATAAGCTATTTAGTATGCTGTATCACAAAAAAAGTAAAGAAAAAGAAAACACAAAATGGGGAGGAAAAGCAATGTTGGACCACAGAGCCACCTTCCCAGCCCGAACCAGGGCGGGACAGCACAGGCCTCCTTACCCAGGTAGAACTGTGCGGCCCCTCGGTTTGTGTGCAGCACAGCGTTCAGCTCCGGGTCCTCGCACTTCTTCTTCAGCCCCTCGGTGTAGGCGACGACAGCCCTCCTGTAGTCCTTCTCCCTGAAGTACTCGTTCCCTTCGTTTTTGTACATCCTGGCCAG